TGTTTTAAAACTTCTTAAATTCATTTAATAAACATTGTATCCTCGTTGTTTATTGAATCCAGAATGTTGGTGTCGTTTATATAATTATCCTTACTTGTCCACAGAACCTGCTGACTTATCCAGCCATTAAGTAGCTGCAGATCATTTCTACATAACCATTGAACTTCCATTAATTCAGTCTCTAGAGGGTTGTATGTTTATATCATAATTTGACTTTTATAAAAAAAAATGATTATTCTAAATATTATGTTTCTATAAAAATATATTGTGCTTTAAAAATATGGATGAATAGTATCAGCCGCTCTTTCAGCCACTTCAAAAGCAACAGTTTGTTTAGAAATAAATTATGCAGTTAATGTCATAAAATTCAAATAAATATCAAACGAAAATTCTCAGTTTTAGACAATTCGATTTAAACGAAGTAAAGTAGCAGACGATAAAACGCCGAAGGTAAAAATTTACTCTTACAAAAACTTACTCTTAAATTTTTTAAAAAAGAAAAGATACGAGAGAAATTTAAAAAAAATAGTTAAAAATTTGAATAATATCATCTATAATTTAAAAAAATAGCCTTTCATATAGTATTAATAAATATTTATTACGCATCATTGAGGGAAAAAATGTCATATAATTAATTCTCCGTAAAAATTTTACTTGAAGTTTAAGGTTAAAAATAGCTGTGGCAATTCAGTGTAACAAAAATCCATAGACCACATTTGGCGTTATTATCGCTCAAAAAAAAAGGTGCCAAATTTCAAAACGCGAAAATTATGTAAATTCGTGTATATCTTAGAAAATTTTGAATAAAAAAGTCTAATTTTTTGCAGATATGCTTAAAAATACACCTACTTTAAGATGATGGTAAAAATTTTATAGGTTATAATTCAAAATTTTTTTCGAAAAATCTATAAAATTATTTAAAAATAGAAATTTAAAAAATAAAACGCAAAAAAATGGGTAAATTTTATTTGGAATGAACCAAAATTTCGAAATGTGAGAGAAAAAAATCAAAAAAGTTTAATAAAAAAAGAGATATTAATAAATATTTGCCAAATTCAATTAACATTGAGGAGCTAAAATTTTGAGAGCTAATATTTTAAAAACTATTCGTACGATTTTTACAAAACTTGGTATTCTGGCATAATTTGAGTCGTAGAATCGAAATATGTAAAAAAAATTGGTATGTTATTTCAGAAAAAGTCCGATTTTGTGTCAAAATACCTATGTTAGAATAGTGCTATATATAAATCTAATATATATCCTAAGTTGCGCTTTCGAGACATGAAAAACGCAGTTTGAATTTTGTCAATCGGCCCAGTAGAACGGGAGATATAGCACTGTCCCAATTTTTTTTTTTTTTTTTTGAGCAGTGTACATGTTGGAGACATGGTCTTCCTTGTTTTAATTGGGCGGTTGGTCGTATAATAGAAGAGTTTTATGGTAAAGATGGAAAGGTTCGCGTGTGCAATGTAAAAACTCAAACTGGAACTTTCAAATGACCAATTACCAAATTATGTGTCTTACCAATACAAAAATGAATATTGTTTTTATTGTTTTAGTGTAGTATTGAATGGCCTTCACATAAAATGCCATTATGTAACTGAAATGTTATATTGCATTGTTTTGAGTTATACGCTGATGTATATGGTAAATGTCTAATTATAATAATGATTTTATGTAATAGTAGTACTTATTCAAAATTGTTCATAATACTTGTTTAAATTTCTTTATATTATATCTTAATTACAATAGTTGAATGCTATGCACTGCAATGCGGGGCGGTATGTTCGCACCTGCGCACCTGTAATGTAACATTCTTACATGAAAATACAGTCCTGCACATGATTTTTATAGTGCATGGATAATTTAAAATTAATGCATGCACTTCTTCTAGTGCTAATGTGCTTTTAGAAATTAAAAATTGCAACCTTATTCAGATTAGCAAAAATATTAGTTTCATTAAAATCATTCCACAGCAGATATTTTAATTTCCAAAATACAGTTCTGAAACATGTAAAATTGGTGTTATTTAGTCACTTGTTATGTTTTATTATACATGGCCCTGACAGTGGTTGAGCATAAACCTATCAAGTGACAAGGATGCACCTAATAATGCACTAGTCGTCATGTTAACTTACTGATTTGAACTACACGAATGATGTGATAACATGATGAGTGTAGAAATGGAGCAAAGAGTTTAACAAAAAGTTCTGATTAAGCTAAGAAACACATGCAACATGACACAGCAAACCTGCAGTAACAGAGTGTTGTTCAAATGTTTTACATTTTAAGGGCACAAGAGGTTTCAGAAGGATAGAACTTCAGTAAGAGATAAGCTATGATTAAGCCAGCCTTTATTCCTCTAAGTGGATGAGCCACATACACATTGGTTTCCAAAAATTAAGGAAAAATCATAAAAATGGTGATAACTTGTCCAAAATTAAGCTAATCTGTATAAAATTTGAATATGTTGTTAAATAAGAGTTGCTGAGTAAAACTGCAGCATGAAAATTATTGATGCTGCAAATTGGAAATGCGTCATCTGCGAGGAGCACAAAATAGCATGTTTGAGAGAAATCCTGTAAATTTCGCTATGATACTGAGATTAGAGATCTGGGATAACCAATTCATAACAATGACTTCCAGGCATCATTTGCTCGAAGAATTGCAATGGAGAGTTCCTGGGAGACTAGAGGTAGAACTAAAAAGTCAGAAGTAGCCAGATATCTAAATGACAGTCCTGTGGTTCACAGACTTTGGCAACAATTTCTAACCACAGATTTGATATCCAACCACTATGATGAGTGCCAATGACCAATATTTGTTGTCATGCGCAAGAAGGAATAGAGCTGCATCTTTGAGTCAATTCTGAAACTCCCTTCTGCAACTACCAGAAGGTTGGTGTCAACGTCTACTGTGCATAGAAGGCTTTATGATAGAGGTCTGTATGTGATGTGATCAGCCATTTGCATGCTGCTCACATCATATCATAGAAGGGAATGTCTAAGGTGAGCACATCAACATATCCACTGGATGGCTGATGAGTGAAGGGTTGTTCTCTTTATGGATAAGTACAGGTTAAGCCTCCAAAGTGATAGTAGGCATTACTAGATTTGGAGCATTCGTGAAAGAGATGCATGCGGAGGAGGTAATGTCTGTTTGGGTAGTATCTCTTTCGGTGGATGCACAGACCTCCATGTCTTTTTATATGGAACTGTAAATGCTCAGGACGATAGAGATGACATCCTTACCCTTATGGCGGGGCAATAGGTGATGATGATGATTTCCTGCTACAAGAATGACAAAGCTAAAATGCACAGGGCTCAAATTGTGAATGATTATTTTTAGTGCAAGAAGTGACCAGCTTGATCACCAGACCTGAATGCTCTCAATACATCTCTCCAGAGCCTTGTCACTGATATGCATGAGCAATGGTTCTCAATTTCTACGGAACTGATGAGAGTGCATAATTGACAGCATCATACATCGCTCTATGTACTATATTGCTTCTAGGGGAGATCAAAGTCCATACTGAAGGTAATTTTCCTAAGCCAAACTGGCACAATTAATGATAATCATTGCATATATGTTTAAAAATATTTGTCACAATACACAGAGATGCATCTTGAACTACATCCAGAGAATTAATTTAGATATGTATGGAAGAAAAGGAATCAAGGTAAAAAACTAGAAGGTCATTTTGGAGTTGTAATCTATAGAATACCATTTATTCAAGGTGTTTTGGATAATTTTAGGAGAATTCAGGATCAAACACTTTGAGTTGGATGGTTAATAATCAACACTATTGAAAATATGGATTGTGTGAAGAATTTACTTCAAAAAGGCCATCCTATTACTATTCCCAAGATATCAGATATATTGAACATTAATAGAGATATGTGTCAATAAATTTTATGGAATGATTAACCACTTAACAGTTTTGTGCAAGTACCATTCAGCAAAAGGGAACTTCCCTGATTTTCTCATACATTACTTGGGCAGTTTATTTTCCTACACCAATCCGCTTTACTTACTTTCCAGTGTTTAATAATGTCTCTAGTAGTGCAGGAGAGACAGGATGGTAAAACCAGTTCAAGCACAGGTTTTTACTGCTTTCCGTTTAGGCTTTGTGTGTTGCTTGAAAAGGAATGATAGCAGAAAACATGGCAAAAAGAAAAAAGATATTTTTGTTTCGACTATCATATTGGACTCCCCTTATCTCCATGTTTTAAAATATACCATATCAGAGCTGAATTTTGAAAAGAAATAAAAAGATAAGTACTTAAAAAATACATGTTCCTTTCTAACATTTATCTCCTGTAAAGTGTTCTTTACAGTTTTGCACCTTCAAAAAAAAAAAAAAAAAAAAAAAAAAAAAAGGGGGGGGGGCCAAAGTTAAGTAAAAATGTTTTTTTGGTCATAATTAAAAATTATCTTAAATTAATAAATGCAATACTTGAAATAGTTTTGACTACAAAATTGTTTATAAATTTTTTTGTCATAATACGGCAGAAAAATGAAACTGATAAGTCGATAAGGATATGGAACCTTAATGAAATAATAATCCCTTACATACTAACAAACAAACAGAAAGCAAGCAATTACCATCAGAATGCTTGAAAGGGACATATGTGATTCTAAATCATCAGTTTTATTTTCAACATTAAATTTCAACATTTAATGCTGAAGATAAAACTGAATGGTGATGAGATGGTTAACAAGCCTTGGGGGGGGGAATGTTGATTGCATTTGCTGGTCAATATGTGTTGTGCACTATGAATTTCTGTCTCCAAGACAGATAGGACAGCATTATCCTTAGTATTATTATCCTAAATTTTAAAAACCAAATTTGCTTTCAAAATTTTTACCTTCATTAGAAAACTCTTAAATATTTAAACAAAGTTTTAGAGCAGTAAGAATGCCAGTAGAATTGAACTGAATTCAAAACTAAGACATTTAATCTTTTTCATTCATTTATGTCAATAAACAGTTTCTTTTACCTCACCAAGATATTGCCCATAATCATCCTCACTTGCTAATCCACCAACTGCCATGACATAAGCATATGCTCGAAAATCCTCACCACCATCACAACCATTATTTTGATATTGCCAACTGCAGTCAATTAGCTGCTGCTGTGAAAGGCGAACTAACTTGTTTGTCTATAAAATGAAAGAAAACTTCAGAAATTGCCATCAAATATTATAATGGAGATCTAATGACACCATAAGACATAACTGCAAAATACCTTTAAAAATAATGCACCTTCAATAGTTCCCGTTGTTCCAAAGCTCCAACAAGAACCACAGATGGCTTGATCTTTAACAGGAGTTACTGCACCTATATTGTAAAACATAAATACTTTATACAATAGAACAACCGGGGAAAAAAAAATAATGCAAAAATTTTTAACAATACAGTTCTTGAGAAAACATACAATTAAATTTCATGGTGTTTAAGAAGATTCCATGCAATGGATTGTTACAGAAGTTTGATAAAATGCAGCAGTACAAATATAAAATGTCAGTAGCAGGGAGAAAAGCTAATTTAACTGTATACATTACATAGTTATCTAATAAACTAAAACATAAATAACACATTCAAAAACTTTGATTGCCTTCGATAATAAAATTTGAGAATTATAAGCATTATACATACACTCTGTCCCAAAAGTTACAGACTCAAGTAAATTACATGTTTAAGAAAAACAGAAATGTGTAAAGCTAACCAATTAAAATATGTTTTAAAATACAAGTGCCTTGCATCTAAGTAAATATTAAAAAAAATATCAATTTGCCTTTCAGAAAAAATAAAACAGAAAAAACGTGTGTTCCAAAAGTTTATAGACAAAGTTTATGCAAATTGGTTAGCAATAATCATGATAGGGAGCTTTAACTTCTTTTATATGATAATGCCCTCATTCAAACCTCCAATTTTAAAAAGAAAACAGATCATCTGAACTGTGTTTAAGTATGCCTAAAGGTATGCAACCTTCTTATGCTGAATTTAATATGATTCTGAACTTTAAATTACATGGTAGGACAGAGAACTTTTGAAACTTATGAATTGATCTGTAAGCATGATTTATTGTGCAATGCCTTGTAAGATGTCACACCATCCAAAAACATGTTCAGTAAGACCCCGAGTAGCAGATAGTCACAGCTACAGTCGAATGCAAAGAATGGCTTCGACAAAGAAAAAGTCAGTTCGCCAAATAACAAGGGCCTGTGGATTACAAATACCCAAGAACGCTGTTTATAGATGTAGGAATCTGGTTATATGATTCATGTAAAAATGGCTTGATCATTACTGCTCTCAACAAATGCTTCACAAACAAATGAAATTACAGTGGCTCTGTAACCTCATGGCATATAGTAAAGAATGGATCTCTGTAATTTTCAATGACGAAAAAAAAAAGGGGGGGGAGAGGGAACCTATATGATCCTGATGTGTATTCATATTACTGGCATGACTTACAAAAAGAGCTTTGGAGCTATTTCAGTAGGAGCAGTGAAGGTAGGTCAGTTATGGTATGGGCAGCTTCCAATTTCAATGGGCAATTGGGTTTTACTTTTTTCTAGATGGTTGGCAAGATTCGTCTAAATATACAGAAACACTAAGAGACTCTCTTACTTTTGATGTACAGTACAAAGCCTTTTACGCCATTTGCAGAAAACACTGGAAGACAGAATTGGGTGTAACCAGCATGACAATGTTCCCAATTATAACTCTAGTGCTACAAAAAATTACTCAGACATGGAAAATGTCACTGTTCTTGGGTGGCCATCAAAAAGCCCCAATTTAAACCCAATCGAGAATGTATGGGGTGTTACCTCTTGGAGAGTTTACAAGTTCGGACGACAGTTTTCTTCTATGAATGCCTTAAAAGATGCCAGCGTGCATGGTACAATGTGGAACCAAAGTTATTACAAAACTTAGTTCTCTCAGCAGAGAGATGTGTATTCGACGTGATGCAAAATAATGGGGTGACTTTGATTACAAAGTCTTTAATCCGGACTTCGTCAGGACTTCGGCGATTCTGGATTACAGATCATCAATTTTAAATCTGGTAAGATGGGCATGCAGAAATTATAAAATTAAAAATATGAAACCGTAACTTATAAAATAAAGAGCAATTACGATCTAAAGGGTATCAAAATTTACAAAAAAAAAAAAAAAAAAAAAAAAAAAAAAAAAAAAAAAAAAAAATAAAAAAAAAAAAAAAAAAAAAAAAAAAAAAAAAAAAAAAAAAAAAAAAAACTTCATATTTATTTGTTTACTTTATTAAACATTTCTTTCAATGTGCGCATGCGTAAAGCATACATTACGCATAGTCAAAATTAGAAAATTGCATCCAGAAAACTATTTGATGTGCATTCGTTGTTGGCTTTAGTTTTTTCCTTATGCAAATTTTGATAGGAGGTCGATCGGCAGTAAGCTAACGTAGTTTGCTGCTGATTGGCCGGTGACGTCAAGATTGGCGGTTGGCCGAGTATTATATATATGTACGCCGGTATCAGTGAAGGTGTTATTATGATTTAGCATAATGCTAGTATTATTTCACTCAAATGAATTTAAATGTAAAGGCTACAGTGTTAGCTTTATTTCAATTTATAGAATAAAGCATGTATTTTATTTATAGATTAGTCTTAGCTTTATTTAAGGGAAGGAAAATATGCTTTGCCTTTATCGCCACTGCCAACAGGGTTTATGGGCCCAGGGCCAACAGCTAACCTGTTACCCAGTTCAATTCAGCATTGAAGGAATGTAGGTGAAGAGGGCTGTTATCCACGAAAAGAGCTGACGTGGAAGTTTGTTCAAGTTGTTGTGCTCACACTTAATTGAAGATGTCATTACTACCTGAAGGTTTTGAGCTGTTAAACCATGACAACTGGGATCGATGGAAAAGTCGATATGAAAATGTTGTTACTGGGTAAAACTGTTGGAGCTTCATAGAGGACAAAGAAAAGAAGAATTAGATAAAAGTGCAACAAGGCCTGAAAAGCAGGAACTTCACACTGAAGAGAGAATAGAAGCCTTCACTACATTATATTATACAATCTATTACATTATATAATCAAGTTTAGGCCACTGATACAAGAATGCTCAAGTGGTAAAGAAGCATGGGAAGTTCTACAGAAGCAATTCGAACTCAAAACAAGAGCAAGGATAATTCAGTTACTGGATGAATTTTTTAGTATTAGATATATCCCAAATGAAGAAATAGAACTATTCATCGCGAGGATAAGAATGACTGCAAAGAAGTTGGCTGAAGCTGGACACAACTTGGTAGGTCTTTTTAAAGGATTTCAGGCAATAAGGAGATTACCCCAGGAATACTCCGGCATAGTACAGTTGATCTATAGGTGGAATGATGAAGATTTTACGTTGGAAAGAATTGCTGAAGAACTGGCAAGGGAAGAAAGCCGACTTTGCCAGGTAAATGCCGATTTAGAAGACAGCAAGGTAAGCGTGTTTAATACTATTAGTTCAAATGCAGGGAAAGATAAGAGTTGAAAATAAAACTAAATCTAAGAAAAAAAATGAGGAATATGAGAATAGGACCTTGTTTCAGATGCCATAAATTTGGACACTTAACACTCAATGTAAAGAAAATGTAAGTAAAAATCAGAAGTTTAAAATAGACGATAAAAATGAACAGTTTAAAGATAAAGAATTAATGTTAGTAGAAAATTATGTAACAAATGTGTGCTTTTGAAGTAAGTTCAGCTTTGTATGTTTTCACAATTGTTAAAAAAATAAGTGTTCATGTTTCAGCGAAATGTGTATTATCATTTAAGTATTGCTAATTAATGACAAATTGATTTATATGTACAAAATGAATATCAGAATGTGTCTGTTTAGTCAATACACAGATATCCGACGGCGATAAGTAGATGCTGATGTGATTTTTTTTTTGTTTTTATTATTATCATGAACGGATAAAGTTTAAGAATTATATTTTACGTTTGATTTTAATTTTGTGCGTGATTATAACTATAAAGTGTACTTTTTATTTAAATTTTAATGCGGGATTCAATGGTTTAAAATCGTATGTATTCATTTTTTGACCCTATCATATATTGTTGTCCAAATCTGTTAGTTGGCCCCCAATGTAAAAAAAAATGTAAATATATATATATATATATATATAAACATCGGATAATATGATTGAAAATTATGTATTATATAATGTTTCTCCTTAAAGTAACATAAATATACTCGTATTTATATTCATTTTGAAAGAAGGTAAGCATCAATTTAGGTATTTAACGAATGATTTTGACCATATATCACGTAGACTATATTTCCAGCTCTTTCATTTAACTGCAATTTCTGTCAATTTATTTCCAATGTATCAACATAAAATATGTTTTAAAATGCTGTACAAGCTTAGTCACTTATTCTTAATTTAATTCAGCATACCTGCCAACTTCTAAAGATAAAAATTCAGAAGATTTCTCCAAAATTCAGAAGAACAGGAAGAATTAATATCATGCTTTGATATTAAAAAAATAACAATTTATACAAATAGAAAAAAGAAAATTGTACTTACATTAGTAAATCTCAATTAAGTAGTAACTAAAAAATTTATTAGGAAACATAAAACAAGAACTTATGTTACACAAAAAAATTATTGCAATGAATTTAGAGTGCATTTTTTGGCTTTAGCCGAAAATTCTTTGGAAAATTTCCTGTCATAACAATTAGTTTCCTCATAACATTTAGCAATTAAAATGTTTTCTAGAGTTTTTGGTGAAATTGAAGAACAAAACATACTTTTGTTTTTCTTCACAACACTGAAGACTCTCTCACACTCAGCATTACTGTGTGGAATTACGAGAACAGCACATAAAACTCTTGCTAGTCTATCATATTTTGGTGTTCCATCAGCTCTTTTTATTCTTTTTAAGGACGAGGACATCAAGTCTATCTTCTCCAGAACTTCCAGTCTCTCCAGAAGAGAACTCCAGAAGTCTTCAAACTGTGCAGCAGAAAATTGGTTCTGTAGTTCATCTAAAGCATCATTATGGCATTCATTTTCTTTAATTGTTAACAAAAATGGAAATTTATCAATAAAAAAAAAAAAAAAAAAAGAACGAATCTTTTCAAAAGATGAATTTTCAATTTGTTTCAAATTTGCCACTTCAGCATTTAAAAGAACTTCATTTTGCAAAGGAAACTTCCTTACAATGTAATCAATCACAGGCCGAGGAAAAGTACTTTCTAACACATTGAAAAAAATTCTTTTTTCTCGTGATCTTTCAAAGAATTTACAAAGTTTTCCCTGGTTTCATTTCCAATTATAAGATCATTGTCCATCCGTTTTGATTTGCCAAACTATTATAGGCAATATACACGAATCAACACACACT